AGATTTGGTGCTGCACGCACAGTTAAAGGGCTCCACAGCGCTTTCTGCCAGAGGGGTGGTGCAGAGGTAGCCCATTTTCCCATCAATGTTTTATGTAAACATTATTTTTTTTAAATCGATACTAAGAACTGAAAGATCGATATTATATTGGGCAGCCGAATATCACGATATATCGCCAAAACGATTATTTCCCACACCCCTAAATACAAGATACATATTTCTACTTAAGTTTAAAAACATAAATATATATTAACAACTTTTAAATGTTGGTTGATTTACTTCAAGCCATATACTGCACAATCTTATTAATTAAAGCTCAAATATAAAAGCTATATAGATCCCTGACATTATTTTGTGAGATATTTCTTACTGTATCGTGCCCTTTTTCACACCCTTTTTCATCAGTCATATGTGAACGTTTAGCTGTTTTGATGAATATTCAACTAATCTCTTTTGCAGAATTGTTAGAGTTGATTTACTGAAACAGTATTTGTAATAAGGCTAAAGCCTATTGATAGCTTGCAATGTTCATTTAATGCACAACTTTGATTAGTATTTTTTCAGCTTTGCAGTATTCACACACAAATACGGTACAACTTCTAAAAAATCTAAAGCCATGTGTGAATCAGAACTCCGGAGAAGCTATTAATAGCTTGTAGGAATGAGCCTGATGACATAATGAAAAGTACTATTGCTTGGGATAAGAAAAAAATAGGAAGAAAAAAAAGTAAAAAAAATAATATTACACACACATACTGTACAGAACATATATATACCGCATCCACATCCCTAACATATAACAAACAAAATACAAAACAACGCTTTCCCAGATCAGTTACATTGAGAAGTTAATGTTCTAATGTACATACAAATTTAGGAGTTTTGTCTTTAACATGTTTTATAGAGGTGGAGATAGATTTCAGCACTTTGAATTAATCATCAAGATTATTCTATATCTTTGGTAGGCTATCTTACATGTAATGCTCAGAGTGCTTACTTTTAACCTTCTTTTTTTACATTTATGAGATGTTTACTTCTGTAATCATGAGTATGCAGAGGACCAGGGACTGGAATGAGCTTGAAAGAACCTGGTATTATTCTTGTTGACAGTTTGGTACATCATGCATGCATTCTGATATGTATTCAACTTGGTACATCGAAGGAGTCAGAGAAGATGGAAGAGTGGATATGAGGGGGCATTAAAACCAGACCATGACACAGCTCATTATTTTCTATTGCAAACTTTCTAACTTCCTTCAATGACTGGGGAAGGTATTACAACAAATGACATTATAGTGGTTAATATAAGGCTCAACGAGGGGTAAGAAAAGCAGGTAAGGGAAGGTAGTATCTTATTTTGAACACCAGTTAACAGGACGTATTCTGACTTTTACACGACCACTATCACACCCACTAACCTAAATCCACTCACATAATACCCAGACTGACACAAATGTACCAATCTTTGGTATCCAACACTGACTAACTACATTGAGAAAATGAAAAAGAATAGCAATTGCTATGCATCAACATTCTATATAATAAAACAACCAAAAATAATTTTAAAAGTGGAAGGGACAAAAAACACTGAAAACCTCAATTTCAGCAAGGGATATCACAACAAATCAGCACCATAATAATTACAACACAAACAATAAAAATTATGTCTGGGCCAGAATGTGGTCAGCCATGGTCAGTAGCAATGACATTTTTAAAGTAATGTTTTGACATACTTCCTGGCTTCTGCAGCCAGTTAGAGATGAATCGTACCTCTTTCCTTGGGCCTAATGAAGAGCCTGGTCAGGAACAGTAGAGTTAGCTTCTGTCTAAGAAGGCATTTGGGATTTTCTTACTAGAAAACCTAACTGTGTCCAGGTTTGAAAAATCAGCAGTAGTTTTTTTATTTCAGGTAAAAGTAGCCCCAAAGCTTGATGCTACAACCATATTTTATAGCTGTTGCAGAGTTCTTAGGTTATAAAACCTTATTTTTCATTTCTCTATAGCAGTGTGGATCAATACTAAAATATCCATACCACAGAATACAGAACATTAAGTTTTAAAATAGATTCTCAAATTCACATAGTCAAAAGACTAATACTATCAATGCTACAGTCATCTGAGGTAATGTACAGTATATTAAGAAGAATATTATCCAAATGCAGGCATTTACTAAGCTGCAGAGTGTGATGCTGCTGCTCAGCAACACTCATTCAGATGGAGACAAAGTTAAAGAAGTTGTGTGTTGAGCTATTTCAGCTCCAAAAATAGCAAAGATGCAATCTGCAATGTTTGTGTAAAAAAGCTAAAAAAAAATCGTGGCAAAACAATCACCTTCTGAAACACCCCAGGTTAAACCAGAGAAAAACAATATGCGGAGTGATGAGGTGCAGAGAAGTGAAGAGTCTGTAAAGAGAATTTTTACTACTTTGAATAGGCCTACTTCAAATTCAATTCAATTCAGTTTATTTAAATAGCACCAATTCACAACACATGTCATCTTAAGGCACTTTACAGTTCACCAGATCATACAGTCAAATTGATTCAAAGTTTTCTATCTAAGAAAAACCAGTTGATTGCATCGACTCATTGACTCAAAGGCAATCCCTCACACTAAGCATGCTTATAGCGACAATGGAGTGGAAAAACTCCAGGCTGTGAGCAGCCATCTGACGAGGACGACTAAGGTCTAAGGAGACAGAAGCAGAGATAAAAAAAGGCAGCTGCAAAAGGCAGCCCCATCCTGGCAACACACAGCCAGAAAGATGAGCTCTTTGGATCTTAGTGTCAGCAAATCTTGACAGAAAGAATATTTTAGTAAAAAGATTGATGTTTAAAATTAATTGTAGGGGACCAGCAAAGGACCAAACAATGGCCCATCAAATAAAGTGGTGAAATTTTGTTTGGCTACTTCTGTACTATGGATGGTTAGGGCAGACTTAAGCCTTAATGGATCCAGGGTTGTTCCTTACTATAACCTATTTTTTATCATCTAGAAAGGAAAGTGGGATTTTTAATTTGACCTTGGTGGGGTGATGTTACATCGGAATATCTTGTACTTATCTTTAAGTGTTTGAAACGATAAAAAGATAATGTTAAGATTTGTAGAAAATGCTCTAATTAAGCCACAGAAATTTACAATTGCAGCTTAACAACAGTTGTATATTTTCCAAATACCTTGACATATTTCTGTTGTTTGTGTTTTGCAGCTCAAAGCAACGGTATTATATCATGTAATAGTATGCAAACCAAAATCCTAAAAAAATGTCTGTATTGCATATCATTCTATAAGCAGTTACAATTTAGGACACAGAGAGGACTAAACCATGAGTCCTCAAACAAATGGATCAGGGACTCATCAAATGTTTACATCTGTATGAGAATCAAATATTTTATTTACAAAATTTATCAATAGACAATATTGTCAAAATGTAATAATCTTTCCATTTACTGACTATACCCTTTTATCCTTGAATGGTTGCAAAGTCCTTCGCATAAGAGGAAGGGAACACCATTAACATTTTTCTAGTTTATCACAGGGCAACATAGAGACACATGCAGAATGTAATCTGTAGACCTCAGGTAAGTTTAGCCAGATCAGTCACCTAACATGCGTACCCCTTCAGCTTTGAAGAAAAGACAGAGATAACAAACTATTGCCTCCACTATGAGAGCATGCAGACTCCAATCAGAAATTACCCAGGTTGGCCTTCATACCAAGACCTTTTTAACTAAAGAGCAACAGTGACGAGTGCGCAACTGTGCAGTACAACTTTCCAGTTTATTACCTTACATAATATTTGTAATTGCAATTTTCATTTCTATATATTTTTTGAGCATAGATAGTATAGATTGAGTCTCAGATTCAGTGTACAGTAAATTGCACAGAAAGACTAACTTACCTTGGTCCAGAGACTTGGCAGGAGCCCAGCTTTTAAAGTAGTCATCCTAAACGAAAACACAAGAAATAGAGCCATAAAAATATGTTCAAGAATGCATACAGTGACAATGTGGTGTTTTTAAGAGGAGGTGAAACCACACAAATCACACTTTGGGAACACAAAGTTCAAGCAAGAAACAAAAGGGATTTAGTTCTTTGTTTCATTACTGCTCTTGTTGCATTTTGGCCCATATAATAAATTATTCAATAGATTTCATAAAAAAATAAAGAAAAACTGAATATTTTTTATTAAAGCTGACTGTAAACATATTTGAATTTCAGATAAAAGCTGTTTGATTCAGTGAATTCATTCAGAGGGGGATTATCTGCCTTTTTAGATGATTCCTCTTATGCAGGTTAATTCAAAACATTTCTATGCACATAACATGTTTGTGAAAATGTAACCATTAAGCCTAGAAAATTCAAAAAAGCCTGACTTTCATGACAGTCTAATTTGCCATTTGAATCCAAAGTGTTATAAGTGAGGATGTTTGAGGAAATAGATGCACTTAGAGAATATCATGCATTCGGAACAGGTGACAATAGTCTTCAAATAGTCTGGGTACATTTTGCTTGAAATTCCCTTTATTTAGGCATAATCTTATACTTGGCTTAGAATCCTCCATTGTTTTTATAGTCTCCAGTGATCTGGGAAAAACAAGGTGAATATTTCTGATACCAAAGTTTAGATGGAGTTTAAAGTAGTAGCCTGAGAGTAGAGACACAGCACACTCCTAGACTTGAAGTGGCAGTGTCTGAAGTTCAAGTATTTCCCAGGGTGAAGCACATGTTTACCAGTGGGGAGCCAGCCAGTGTCAGTGACACAACGTGATGGAGGTAGAGTAGCCCGCTGGGTCTCAAAGTGGGATCTCTATCTCCTTCATTATTGAATAAGAGAGATGGAGGGGGTGGGTGAGTAAGGGGTTGGGGTGTGATGACATGGTTGGCTGAATCCTTAAGTTTAAAGTCTGGTTAAAAAAAATACCCTTCTAAGTGCTTAATCTAATGATAGGTGTTCAGGCTTAAAATGTAACTAGCCCCATAGCTGGGACTTCACAGCTGTTCTTAAAAGCATTGAATTCTTGCTATAGAAATCTGCACAACAAGCCGAGGCCCTTCTCAGTATATCTATATAGTTCTAGAGATATTTTTCCTTTTTTAGGCAAAATGTTTTAAAAAATACAATCAACAATGAAAACTGCTCCTAGATAATTATCAGTATAGAATAATTCAACTACAGCAGCAAGCATGTTGTAAGGGTTAGCCAAATGTGCTTAACATCACAAACTTGCTAATGAGCAACAGACTAAAGAGTCTGGCTGAACTCTAGATGCCCTTTACCACCCATGGTGGGCTGGACGCGAGGACTGTCGCCCTCTGAGACATGTTCACGTTTAAACCTTTTCTCTTTTTGAGGATGTGTGAACATCAGTTTTCCAATGTTTGCTGCCACATATTCTCAATAAAGATGGATTTTGACTGCAAATGTCTAAGACACATATGGTGTGATCTCAACAATTTCACTGATCTTTCCTGCAAGCTTTATTCTCTTGTAATTTTTATGTTCACAAACACATGAAAATCCATGCTGTACTTTAAGAGTCCCAGACTGACCCACAAAGGGTCGACCAATCAAGTTGCAGCATGATGATACTGAAACCATAAACATGGCAGCGCAGGAGAACACATGCGTACTGTTTCTGCCACCATCACATCTTTTTAGAGAGAATCGATGATTTTATATCTTGAAAGAGGAACAGTAAAAGCACGATAAGCAAATGCTGCTGTTAATCATGACATCTGCTGCTTAAGACATTTATTGGTTAAACCCTGACTTTGGTAGATGGGCCCTAAATGTTGCTTCACCCAATCCTCTGGGAAGGTTATGCTAACTTTCCTCCTCCCTGAACAGATCCAACAGGAGCAGTCCCAGATTGATAATGTTTATAGCTAAACCTGAGCGCCACACATTATCAATCTGCTTGCCGGCTTGCCAGGTTCACCACAGCTCTGTTTTTATTTATCAGAGTATTCACCACCTGGCAGATGAACCTTGACCCTGCTCTAACGGCTTCTAAGCCCCTAACACATTGTTTTGCTTTCTATCAACTTAGAAAAGTTTCATAATTTATTTATCTCATGGATTCAGGATGATGAGCATGGTAGGTTTCCTCCTATCACATCATTTTGCATCTGGGGCAAAAGCCTCACTATTTGCCTCATCTCCCCAAAAGTAGCTTCCTCTCCAATTTTTGTTTTTTTTTTTGCATCCTGCATGTTTTATTAGCTACCATGCAACTACTTCTAATGGCTTATTTTTATCCTTGATTTTCTTTCATACAGGCCATGTAAGTGAAGAGCATTATATTATCATGCAGGCAGATTTATCTAACTGGATTTTAGGTTACCCTCACACTTAAGGTTGGTTTTCTGCCAGTAAATGTGTACAAACATCTCATTGCTTGGAAATTCCTGCAAAAAGTTATCTAAAATTAAGCAAACATTTCTTAAAATAGGCTTATTTGACCCTAATTTGAGCAGGTAAATAAGGAATTAATTGAATTAATATTTTTTTCCTTAAATTAAGATAATTCGATATTATATACTTGACATTGAGAACTGAATGTTTCATGTTATATTAAACACAAATCTATGTATTCCATTGGCAATTTGTCTAAGTCATCTATTCAAAATGGAAAATACCAATAATACAAATTATTTCTAGAAAAAAAACCTACCCACTTATATTTCTATTTTTTTCAGTGTTCTGGCATACATCTTTTGGTTTACAAATTATAGATCAAACATTGTGCTGTAAGATGTCCAAATCTTTGAAATTCTGTCATTTTAGAATTTTTACAACTTTTCCAATACTAGTCTGCCATGTCCTTAAGCTAAATTATTGGGTTTGTTCACTAACATTGTTTAACTATCTTTTAGCAAAAGGACATAAGAGTTTCATTTACATGCAAGTTCCAAATACAGAAAGGCAAGGCTCTTAAATACACAAATTCAGCTTTTTTTGAGAATCGGGAAATACATTTGTCAGGCTCTGGTGTCTTTTTTGGTGTACATTTTTTTTTTTAAAATACACTTTTGAAATTACTTATATTCAAGAAATTTCAGAAAAACTGCATGTTAATATTTAAAACCCTTTTACTATTAACAGAGTCCAACCAATTAAATAAAAGTGGCATATATTTAATATGCTGAATACAAACAGCTAAGCAATCTGTGGTAAATTTCCAGCCTATTAACTTTTAGCAAATGTCAGACAACCCTGTAATGTCTAAGGGTACTAGGAGGCCAAACCAGGGAAAACACTATTAATTTAAACAAAATGAGGCAATACTTACTTCTGCTTCCTTTGAATAATTGAAGAGGGCAACACAGAAAAGGAGGGAAAGAGAAAAGAAAGGAAGGTTAGTAATCAAAGTTCTACACACCATACATCGGATCTATCACAATTCTGTTACTCATTCTGAACACTGAGCTCAAGCCCAAAAATCCATTTAATGAGAATTTGATTCAGAAGGTGGTAAAATACCAGAGGACTCACACATTCATGCTCTTACACAGCAAGCCTTATGAGGAGGCCTTATTTGATGTGGCATGTAATTTAAGACACAATCAGGGCAAATTGTACAGGCAGAGCAGCTGCACAGCACAAAGCTTGAATAGTGAGAAAAAAAGGAAAAGGAGAAGTACTGGTCTTGTTCAAAAAGTTTTCCTTAGATACAAGATAAAAAGAAGTCAATCTTGGATCATATAGCTACAAATGACAACTATTGACCCATGCCATAAATATCTACACATAGAAATGTCTATTTGTACAAATCATTGGGAAATTGTTAGCAATGGATAAAAATGTACAATGTAGCAATAAAACTGAACTGCATTATAATAATGCATGTAATTGAATGGAAGTATCTAAACATCCTTTTCCCGCAGTCAGAAAAGCATGCAGAAACATTCTAGCTGGATATAAACTATGCTGTTGCATTGAGGGGGAAATATCTGAAATTCTCATTATGCACATGATCCAATGATGTCAGAAATGACTGTTGACAGTAGTGTTTCGCTACAATGAGCGCACAGTTATCAGGAGCTTTAAAATAAAAGATACCATCTTACTTTTAAAAGCCTGGTTTGTCTAACATTAATATTGAATGTCATGTCCTGCACCAGAGCCAGCCCAAGGCAAGGAGAAACACTGCTACTTCTCAGTATATTATGTGCAGAGAATCGGTAAAAAGTACCTTATTAAAATAATAAGTCTTTTACTGGTGTAATTTAATATTGTAATCTTAAATGTTGTAATTTTATTAGTTCTAAGGGGAAATTAATCATAACTAACAGATATTAAAGCTCAAATAAAACTGTTATTAATCTATATTTGTATTAATTAGTAAACTCAGTTAGGGAAATATAATAACATTTCAATGATATTCTAATTTACTGAGATCCATCTGTGAGTTCTTGCAAAGATCCCTCAGGTCCTTTATATGTTTAATTTTCTAGAACAGTGACGAATACTCGTTTACAAATAGCTGAGGTCACATTCTACTGTATGCACCATCTAAAAGCGAACTTATCAATAAATAAATGACATATAAAGACATCATGTCCAGACCAAATGAATATGTCCTAGAAATAACCTTTTTTCCGGAATGCATTTACTCCTATGCGTTAACTAATGTGCAGCAGAACTGGAGCCCCTAATCAAATCTAACAATGTTAGGTTGGGTCTGTGGAGCACATTAGTGTCTCATCTAGCAAACAAGTACTTTTGCTGTCTTTCTGCTGTACATTCAGTCATCAAAGGACTACTCACACTTAAATCAACTTTTTTTGCTATCAAACTGTATAAAAATATGTCTTGGAGTACTACCTACGTGTTTCTGGCATTTTTTGTGTTACAACTTACAGCATATTAGCTGAAATTCTGCTCTTGTGTGTAATGCCGTGTGTTTGGTGCCCTCCTCGGGTGAAAAAAAGGGTAGCTGGACTTTGCTATTGGTTAAGCTGGGGACGTGATGTAACAGAAATACTGATGACAGCAGGTCCAAACTGGGTAGCTGCGCTCTGCTGACTTGCTCTTCATACAATTTGGTTTGTTTAGGAACTGACAATAAATCAGATTAATTTCTTATAGCGGATAATGAAAATAATAATAATCACAAAAAAAAAAATCTGGATTTTGTAAGAAATATCCTGCATCATCTGTCCAGTCTAGTGTAATGATTTGACCTTAATTAAAGTGGCAGTCACTCATCTGATCTAAAAGCTAACAGAAAACATTTTGAGGGGAGGAAATGTCCACCAATCATTGTCAGGTTTGGTGGAGGTTAGTTGAGGACCCAAACAGAGGAAAACTAAAATAGAAAATGCATTAAAATTACCTTGTCTTTCTAGTCTAAAATAATGATTTGGCATTCATTTTGAGTCAATCGGTTACAAGATAAAAAAGGTTGTTCATTTATGTTTATCAAGAATGTTTGGTTCCACAGTTCATAGCTGATCCCAATGAGAAGGGACAAGGGAGCAGAAGCACAGAATCTCTGAGCCCGCTACTTAAACCGGTGCACTCAGCTCCACTGGCGTTTACCACAGAACATTCCTCCCTTTCTTTCCCGTTTCCACTGTCTCTGGTGAAGATATTTCAGAGAGGTACAACTGCCTCACCGCAAAGCAATCATTGTTGGGATTGCTCTGCTCACTATCTCTGTGTTGCTCTAAATGCCAGTGTGCCATTGCCAATCATAGCAGGGACCTCGCCCAGCTCTCTACCCCTCTACATTTCGTGGTACTTTGGGTTATGCCTTCCTGGCAGGATTATTCAAATATATGTGGATGGAAGTATGACTCTGGAGCAACATGAAAATACATTTTGCCACTTTGCTTCCTTTGCTTTATTTAAATTTAAGCAGCGAAAAGTATTAGTTTTGTGTTTGACGGGATTGTTAATTTCAATACAAAGAGCAATTCAGAGAGCAATTTTTAGCCGTTTTAGGACCTGCCATTCGACTTCAGGATCACTAGTATAAATATACAGTGTAACCTGTAAATGCTGTGTTTTTCTACAATAGGATTTCTGTGTGCAAGTGAGAAGCTGTAAAGGTTACATACTGTATGGCTGCCCATACATTAATACTGTGCTTTAACAGTGCTTCAAGGGTAAATTTGTGTCGACATGGTTGTGGAATAGCACACCAAAGTATACAAACCCATTGGTGTGGAAAGTATTGAAATAAAGTGACGGAGCCTGCCCTTTAAAATGAACTAAACTGGAAAGAAAAATGTAGTTCGGGAACGGGAGAGTTCACTGGATGCGTTTCACAAAAATCTTGGACTCCTTAAAGTCTTAGCAATGTATTCTTAACATGTAGAGAAAGTGGAGAAGTCTAAACATGTAGAGATTTGGATTTCTCTACATGTCTGGAGGTTTACTACATCTTATTTTGCCCATTTGATGTTTTTCCAAAGTTTTGGTTTCCATATCTGATTGTAGCAGCAGGTTAAAAATATTTATTTATTCATTATGTACACAATTTATGTGTTTGTCTGTTGACTGACTTTAATAAACATGTCAGGGTTTCAAATATTTTTACAGTTACATAGTACGTTTTTTATTTTTTCCTTGATAAAGACGCTGCTTCCGGACAGACATCCTTTGGTCATTTTCACATTTGTCTTTGTTGGACTGGAGCCAAAAATCTCCACCTTTGGACAGTGAAAAAAAAAAAAAGAAGCTCTGACTTGTTCATCAGGTCAAAAAGTGAGAAAGAACAGCTTTGTTTGGTAAAAGCCTGTGTTCCTGGAGGCCCCCTAAGGCTAGTAAGCAGCATCTTTAACTCCTCAGGGTCCAAGGTACTTAGGGAAAACTTAAACTGTCTACTTAACTCAATTTCTTGCCACCTGCCAATGTACAGTGTACAGACTACTGCTCATTCTCAAGGTAATTTTATATTTCCGTCATTGAACAATGCAATTAAAATTCTGTAAACTGTACTAAAGTGCTAGCATAAATTTACATACATCTTTTTCCGTCTTGTTAAAATTCAGCTATGTTTTTCAACTAATTGTTTGTTGCCTGATTAGTCTGGTTATTCACTGGCACATCTGATTCATATCTCATGTAAAGAAGAGTTTTGATGCCTTATATAATAATTCAAATCTCCAGCTACAAGGATTCTGCATTCAAAGCATTTAGCTGCAGTGACTGGCAGAACACCTTGTACTGCACACAAGCTACTGTTATTTGGGGATTACAGAGTCGCTGCTGACCCCATTACTATTCATCTGAAGTCACAGGGATGACCTTTCCTCGCAAAAGTCCCCTATTAATATTTGAATGAGTGGATCTCTGAAGCATTAATAGCCTGCTTAGCTCACTGCCACACTGTTCCAATGTCATTCAAACCTTTTAAAGAGATTACAAGAAGATAAAACTAGGCCTTTATTATCATATAATCTTTGATGGAGGTGAAGCTTCTACATTCAGCAGCGGGTGTCAAACTCATGAAAGTGTATCTCTTCAAAGCTAGAAACTGCTAGAGCTGTTGCTGAACCAAATATTTAATAACTTGATAAACTAATGTAATTATTCAATTAGAAACTACATGACATACATTGAAGCTTTAGGTCTGAATGGAATTTCTTATTTATAAAATTGGATGCTTATTTAACAATACCATATTTTAGTTGGTATTGAAGTGATTCTATTTGCAAACAGCTTTGAGTTACAGTAAGCTTTTTATTTAGTAACTCCATGATGAGGTTGTTTGATCCGTGAAACTAATGGAAGGAAAAAAAGCAGGACATGCAGTGAGGAATTGCAGGTTCTAAGCAGTGAAAACATCCAGAATGAGACCTAATATCTGAGGTTTTTCAAAATTTTCTGCATGGTTTGCAATATCAGCAGATAAAATAGTTCCCTTATTTGTCTCATAATTGTGCACATAAAGCTATAATGAACAGTTTTTAACCTTGATATACTAGTTGTACTGAAAAGTCAAAAAACATACTGCATCAACTGTGATTGTGAAGAAGGTATCGTTATCGTTCGAAAACATAAGTAAACAGATCAACTATGATAAAATAAATTAAAACATAATAATCACAGTTATAACACAATAAGAGTCAATAGAACTGCACTATTTAGAGATATAGTAGTTGGCTAAATTAACAATTAGAAATGTTTGCACTCAGAAACCAGTGTATGATTTTGTTCACTTTATACCAGAAATTTTTAAAGATGCATGTTTCAAGGCTTGATTTCCCAAGGTGTCTCACTAAGCAATACATGACATTAAATATAAGCATCACATTGAGTTTGATTAAAATGAAATATATTTTCACTGTT